CAGGTGGATAAAAGAAAACTTGTTTTGTAAAATACATAGTAGATATAGTTAAATATTGATAGATAAATATAAAGAAGCTTGATATGAAAATTACACAATTTCGTTTTTTTGTTTAAGTTACAGTAGTATTTAACAATATCAGTGTTCATAAATATAACAGAGAACTTACGCCACGTTACAATTATAATGTTTTAAAAAAGTCGTTGATTGAACGTAACTGGAGAAACGGAATTGAATAAGAGTCCATCCATAAAATGTTCAATAAATACATTTTTGTTATTGTTTCGTGAATCAATGTATTTATATTATTGCTTCTACTATGTAATAAAACTAGAATAGATAACAAATGAATATGTCAAAAAGTTTTTCCTTCAAATCAATTTGTTTAGTAGTTATAAGCACTTGTACAACTACCATGCTGTGCCAATAATTTTGTCCAGCACTGTATATTATATTAAAGAAACGAATTTCTTTAATACTTTTTTATCGACAAAATGAACTAAAATAAAATGTTTATTGTCTGCGAATGTTTCTTTCGTGGTTTTCTACTATATTCTTTCTTTGAATCATCTATAACTTCTGTATATAGATAATGAAAAATACGGTTCCATTAAACATATTTTTCACATGGAAGGATGATTATGTTTTTGTAGAATTGTTTATACTATATTATTTATCTGTACAGATACTATTACCAATTGTCTTTGATATTCAAGTAACTGGCAAACCAACATCACTAACAAGTATATTTGATCTTCCAGTCAAAAAACAAAGTAAACACATATAATTAATACATTAATACTAAATCAGCATGATTTAATTTTCTATTGAAATTTCTCTAACACGCTTTTATATAATTTAAATTCAATTTTCTTTCATTGGATTCATTACATTGATACCATAAATATAGGGTATTCTATAATTTATGCAAGATTTGAATTTTGCGTCATTTGTGCAGTAAAGTGTTTTTTGTTAAACAATTTTTTATTGAAAACCTGTGTTTTTTATCAAAATTACTTCTTGCTTGAATTTTGGGATACCCGACATAACTGTGTATCAGTAATTTATAAACTGAATTAATTTGCGCTTGTATAATAAAATTAAGAACTTTCTGTTATTTCTGTCATAATATGGAATGAATATAAAGGAATGAATCCAAGGTCTTCTATAGTAGAATCATACAGTCAGTGATCATGCAGGGCACACGGATATAATAATGCGCTATTACATATGTCTTCTTCAAGTGACTGATAAACTTTAATAAATTTATTTTTTATTGACCGAATTGCCATAGTAATGATAAAAATGTTACTGATGTCATTCGCTAAATGTTCAACATTACCAATCTATCATAATTCATGTGACAACTTGTACAAAATGAAATGTATAAATGGTTGGAAATTGCTACAGTGAAGTCACATCTATGATACAGTTTATCTATTCATGTGCGACGATCTCGATACAATCGTCTCTAGGTTGTAACGAAGAAAACAGAATAATAAATGAGAGAGAGGAAAAAGATTATTTTTATAAAAGGGATAATATTATCCCCGTTATAATATATGTTATTTTACTTTTTAGCAAACTATCTTACTAATTTAGCAAAGTGATACGTTTATATGTACAACAGGCGTATCCCTAACATTAGTCGTAGTTATCGAGAATTATGAGAAAATTACATATAGTTTACAAAAACTACGTATTCACGTATATTCGAATAGCAAAAGTTGCCATTCAACAGTAATTATAATGCCAATGATAAACATCATTGACTTCAAATTTTTTTATGGAAGTTCGCTACCATCGCGAGAATATTACTTTTTTCTAGATTTTCCACAAAATCAATTATACTAAAGTTACTATTTGCATATATGTATCTATATCTTAAACTATAGAATTTTATAGACGTTTACTATACTTATACTATACTTACATTACGCATAGAATTGTTTAATAAATGCATAGAATAGGTTAATAAATATGCACAAAATAATATACATTACTATAACTACTATAATTACTCTAATTGATCGTTAGACAATGATACGTGAAAAAGTGCAGATTGAATTGAATTATCTAATACAGTGCAGGACAATAATAAACCTCTGCTCCTTAGTGTTTCTTGAGTAACATCACACTCTTGACAAGAAAAGATTATGTATACGATTATAAATCGAATTTGACTTTAGAAAGTTAGAAAGTTACTATTTTTGGAATATCGTCGTAAGTATAGCAAAAATTAATAAAATAATAAAAGTTTTTCTTTATTGATTTCTTAAACCTAATGGGGTAAGCAATTTTTGCTGCTAAATTCGGATTCAACGTACAAAAATATCCCAAATTTTTCCATTCTCGAAAAAGAAAATCTCATTTATCCGTTTTTTTCGTATCTGGGCTATTATTCTGTCCCATTCATTTTTCACATAAGCAGCTATAACTTCTACAAATTTACAGAAAAAAAATGAAACTGTGAGTAAATTTTTCCATTTTATTAAATGACCATTTTTAAGTTTTCGATTTAAAATTCCGCATTCAATGTTTTCGCTTTGGTCACTTGACTACGTGATTTTTCTTTGAATATGTATGCGTATAATCAATTTTTCACTATTTCCTTTTATTTTATTTTTTTTTTTTTTAATTCTTCGCTTTTTTCATTCATCAATCATTTGACTAGTCGTATCGTGGTTGGTTTAATTTTAGGAAAAGATTACATGACACATATGTAACATTTGCATATCTTGCATTAATTTCAAGAAGTACTTAGCAGGTATGCTATCACTTTGTTTTGTACCGTTCAGTGATACACGACAGGTATTTTTTTTATATATTAACTGAAGCAAGGTTGTAACAAACATTAAATCTCTTGGAAAGTTTCGTCCGTTGTTGAAGTAAAAAGAAATAATACATTTTCAACACACTTACTAATATTTACTGAACAATATAATTTCCATCGTTGCTTATGACCTCTTCTCGGTGTGTAATTTGTGAATTCGATTTCTGCTAAGGGACTCACTTTTGGAGGCGAAGAATTCGAGCAGTGCTTGGTTAACACCTGCTTCATTTTGGAATTTTTTCCCTTTAAAAAATTTTGGAAGCAAAGAAGCAGATGGTAATTGGATGATGCTACATCTGAAGAGTAAGGTAGATAAGACTGGCGCTCCTAGTCTAGTTTTGTGATTTTCTTGGCGAGTCGTCAAAGCAGCACGTGACCTGACTTTGTCGTGGTGCAATATGATTTGCTTCCTATTGACCAGCGATAGTCTATTTTTCTTGAGTGCTTTGTTCAAATCATTCATTTGTCGATAATACATTACCGAATTAAGCTTTTCGTTGAGTTTGAGAAGCTCATGGTGTATCTTTAACGTCCCTTCATATATGCAGCATTTTCTTATTGAGGGTCAAGCTCGGGTTTGAGATAGAGGAGGCAGGTTTTTCGGACTTACAATATACGCTTTCTCTTGCGATGTTCTCATATGTAATCCACTTTTCATCACCTATTATCATCCGGTCTTAAAACGATTCGTTTCTGTTCCGAGGAAACAGAAATGTGCAACTGACGACTCAGTCATGCAAATTTTTTTCACTCGTTTCATGAGACACGCATCTGGAATACTTATACACCAATCTAAGTTTCCACAGTTACTGTTCCTGTTCGTAAAGTTTATCCTTTTTCTCATTTTGTTTTTCTAAAGTCATTCGGAAAAACGAAACAAAAGTTTCATTGTACAGTGAATCCTTCACTAAACTAATCTCCTAACTCTAGAATGGGAAGTAATAATGCTATTCTGTATAGTTACTGACAAACTATCCAACAATCATCTAATTACCAACTAATTTAAAGTGACTAATCTCAGGCTTTTTTTGGTTTCACAATTGCTTTTGAGAAAATTAATTTTAAATTTTAATCAAATAAATGCATAATTACATATAACTATCTATTTTTATTATATGATTTTATTATTATTATTTATGTATACTAATTTATAGTTAGAAATATTATTAGAAATCGGTAATTTTAATGTTAAGACTTCTGTTAAAGATAGTCTGTTGATCTGGAACAACTTCCGTTTTTATAAGGACCCTAGAAGGATTCAAAATATACAGAGTAGCGCAGCAATGAATTACATTTCAATGATTACCGTATTTCATTACTGAATTACAATAATCGTAATCATTAATCGGTAATTTGTAATCATTTGAACGATTACCGCTGATTAAAAGCGAGTATATGAAAAGTACGTTGTTCATACTATATTAATATACATACTATACATCCATAAATAAATAGCTTTTTCTCTGTTTCAAAAGTACATGTGTATCTAATTGTAAGTATGTAAAAATACCTAAATATAATGAAATTTTTAAGAAATGTTTACTACATTGTTTATTGTTTAATTTGAAATAAATTACTGATTCAATCACGATTAAAAATATAATCATTACACGATTAATGATTCTTGAATTACTCATGACAATGGATTACAATGATTTTGATTGCTCTTATCAATCATTAACCAATGATTTTTGATTACTCAGAAATCGGTAATCATGATTACTAACATGATTTCACAGTATCCATCGTAATCGTAAGTTATTAATTATATTAGGTTTTCCTAACTCTGTCTGAAAGGTGGGGCAACAGAAGGGAAATACAAAAATTGATGTATTGTAAAAATTAAATTTCGATCGTTAATAAAACCATTAAAATCCATGTTTTAATTTTCGGCAAGTTTCTTGAAAAGACTAGGAATATAGCACTAAACCCGGATAGATGTAGAGCAATGTCCACTGCAAAACCACAATGAATAAAATTAACCCATTCGCAAGTATGGTACATGCACGGTAAAAAAATTTGTTAAAACAATATTGTGCAAACAATGTGACATGCGTAGTAAGAAGAAAATTCCAAGATTATATCGGTAAAATTGGAAAATAATTCCATGATATATACGATGTTTACGATAAACATTTATTGGAGATACAAGCCGTGGTGACGCTAGTGAGTTAAGTGAAAAACGTCTTAAGACTGCCGAAATACTTGCTCGTGAAAGGGTTAATAACTGCTTTTGAATTATGAAAACAAATGCAATAAAAATAATCATCTTTTGAAGATATCCAGTCAATATGACATCATAATTCCGAAACCTGGCTAATATTTAACAAAATTTCTCGACCTACTAAAATTTCATATTAAATTGGACAGACTTGATCGATTGATCATTAATGCAATTAAATTAATAATGCTATTCATTATTTACAGAAAAAAATTAAATATTAAATGTTCAACATCAAGAAGTGAATATACCTATTCTACATATGGATAATAGTTGTCGTTTCTATAAATAACATAAGTAGATTTTGCTTATCAAGATTCTTAGAATGTTAATTTGAAGCTTATCTTTATCTTTGCGTTATAATTATTAAAACGACTTACATACATATGCATATATGCATATATATTTATAACAAAATTAGGTGTTACAAGTATAGCATAAAAACTCTGTCAATCTTTTTTTACAAGGTTTTTCCTGTTAGCAACAGCGTAGAGTATTCACTTATTTTAGAAAATACGAATATTCCATTTGCTAAAAAATAATATCAGTATCGTAACTGTAAAGCTAAAGGTAAACCAGATCTTCGATATGCCATTTATTTTAGGTGAGTTTCGCTTGTAACGATTTATTTGAATCATGTTATATAAGGAAGTAAAAGTTGTTTTTTAATAGAAAGAATTATTGTTTGATAAACTTCAGAAAATTTTAGCACAACGGGTGTCCCAGTAAAAAATTTACACAAATTTTCTCTATTATAAAGCTATAGATTTTTACTTAAATAAAACTATAATGATTCAATACCATTTTGCTTAAATATAATTATAATAATTATAATAATTATAATAATTATAAAAGTACAGTAATATCAATTTTATGTTTAGAAATCCACCTGTTTGAAATTTATAACGCGAAAAAGATTGCAAAATTTAGACATCTACTGTAAGAATCAAAATTTAAAGGACAATTTTCTATGCTTATTCTTATTTTTGTATAATCGACTTTTAAGTAACATTTTATTATACTCCCTCAACTTTTGCAAATAGTGATATTATCACAATGGAATATTATCATCACTTGAATGATTTATTCGTGTTATCTTTTTGTATATTTTATTAAATTCACGAGACAAAATTATATTAATAAACTTACAATTAGTAATTAAAATTATAATTGTCAGATAAAATTAAAAAATTCCACAATAAATTCTTGTTTGTAAATTTGTTTCTTTAGAGTAATTTTTTGACAGACTATGTAACTCTCCGTATGTAATAATTATTTCTTATTCGGATAATCAAAACCAAATCAAAACAAACGAAAAAGAAAGATAATATTAACTAGAGGAAACGAAGAGGAAATAGGAACACTAATGTACGGGATAAAAGATGAGGAACAGTGATATATTGATACACGTTGTGAATCTAAAGTACATGAAATATTAATAATTTCAATACTGGGATTAGACATATGATTTATGAAGTATTACTAAAGAGATATTTAGAATGTTATCAAAGAAACATTTATTTAAGCAACATATACATTACTAAAAAGATTAAACAAGGTAATTAGAACTCGACATTTACATGTAAAAAACTCATTACTTATTCTTGCACGCGATGTAAGATGAAATATGACGTAGCATGATTGGTGATCTCTGTTTGGTTTTAACATTTAAGGATTTCTTAGAGACATGTAATATTTTTACGCAAGAAACTTCGTTTTTAAACAGTTCCAATATAAAGTAACTATTTTTCATTTTTAATTTATTACATTTTATTTTTATTTTCAAATTCATTAGTTTAAAACAAGTAATATAATTTAACAATTTTATTTTATTTTTAATAATCATGTAAAACAAAATTCTATTTATAAATTTCCATGTATTAAATCACACTTAATTAAATACCAGATAAAGCAGATATCGAAATCTTTCATTTGCAATTACATATTTGTCGATAACAAAGTGGAAACAAATGATGTGCGAAGTAAGTCAAATAATTCGTAAAATTTCTTAAATTTCCTTTTATAAATTTCCATCAAATTCAATATAATACTTATATAAATTTAAAAATTACTTATTCTATAATATAGAATATAAATAATTATGAATTTATATTATTCAAATTTTTATTTCGTAGGAAAACATATAATATGATTAATTAAAATTTGTTTTAATTAAACTTTGTCTTTTAATATGTTCGAGGAATTTTTAACGAATTACTTCGAAAATATGTTAGTTGTAAAATTAAATTATTGCAATTGTTTTAGATTCTTTAGGTATCACGTTTTAATTACAGTAATTGTAATACCTTTAAGATTTTTAAAAGAATACGTGGTAAATTTTCTCATGACGAAGAATATTTCTTGGTTAGAAAGCACATTCTTTAATTATTCCATTGACATCAAAATATGCAGTATGTCGCAGTTTACGACTCCTTTTTTTATCATGCGCAAAATATTTAAGACATAAAAGAACAATTTCTTTTACGGTCATTTATTGTAATATGTTAAATATTATATAAAAATAAAAAACGGAGATATAATAGTTTATCTGAACTAAATTTTTTTATAAATGTAAAAATATTCAATAATATTGTATATTTTTATCAGATAATTTTTGAAGCGATGTAAATATGCTAAGCAAATACAAAATCTTGTAGAATCTTTTCCTTTTCCTTAGAAACCAGGTTGATTATTTTCCTTGGTATATTGGGTATTCCCCTAGTTGTTCCATTCGATATATTAAGTATTCTCCGAATTGCTTCGTAAAATCTTTACTTCTTAGAAACGATAAAACTTCGACAATTAATACATAAAGAATAGTGTCGATATTTTAAATATAATGTACTGATACATTTCTTTTTAATTCAGAGCATTTTCTGTGCATTCTAAGAATTTTTTGACTCGGTCGATCAATAACCTTAAACAGATTTTTGCAGTTGAAAACATTTTGAAATAAAAAAATTTGTTTCGAACTAAAAGAAGCGAAAGAAAAAGTTAAAAACATCTATAGACTTCTTCATAAAGTCATCTTAACTAGATTTTTCAACTTCCCTAGTAAAAACGAAGCTAAATACTAATAAACAAAAAATTATATATTTTGTAGATTAGGAACTCAACTTTGTACTGAAGCAGGACAGCATTATTTATTGTAAAAATCTGATATTACTTATTGATATAGTTTAATACAATTGCCAAGCCTATGCATTCTCTTTGAACACATTCTTTCAATTTTATTATATTTTAAGGTGGGAATATGAAAAGGAGAATATTAAAAAAGAGCCATTTTTTGCATTATCTGGAAATGAAAAGTTCCTTCGGGACTTTTAAGAGCATCTTTCAAGGAACAAAAAATTCCTTTATCACTTTGCCGAGAAATGATGGGAAAGTTGTCAAAAATGAGTCGAAATATGTGAAAATGAGACTGATCAAATACAAGGTGTCCCAGCAACGGTAGTACAGGGAAGGTGGTGATTGTACGTACAGAAATGAATCGAAAAAAAAGAATCAATTTTTTTTATTCGAAGCTTTGTTTTCGAGAAAATTGACTTTGAGTACGCATGCACTTAACTTTGGCTAAGGCGGAGGACCATCAGTACATCAGCCATATTCAAAGTCAATTTTCTCGACAACGAAGCTTCAAATGAAAAAATGTTTTTCTTTATTTTCGATTTGTTTTTTCATGTAGAATCATCCCTTCTTCGATTGTACCATCGGTACTCATGTATCGATGGTCTCTTCATATAAACCATATCTAAGTGCACGTGCACTCGGTGAATATTCAAAGTCGATTTTCTTGATAACAAAGCTTTGAATAAAAAAATGTTATTCTTTTTTTCCCGATTTGTTCATGCGTGTAGAATCACTCCCTTTCCGGTTGTATTGCCGTTGCTGGGACACCCTGTATAGATCAGAAATGCTCAAACAAAGGCTGTGGTTCCAATGGCTCCTAGTAGCCGATCGTGAAAATACTTAGAGAATAAAAACGAATGGACGAACGAATCATAAATTAAAAATTTCAATGCTTGGAGTTTCATAGTTCCGAAGATATTATTAAAAAGAAGCTTTTGGTACAATACACTGAATTTTACTAAGTCCCGTCCAAATCTTAAAGTATTTTTTTTACCGGGTTCACCCGTTATATAATGTTTATAGAAACAGTAAATAAGTGGCGAGTCTGCGCTGATGCACACACTGTGACAGTGTACACGTATAAGAACAGTACGATTGTATAATGTCGGAAGTTTTTTGCAAATATCTCGAAAACTACGACAGATTTACCCTTATATATAATGCAAAACGTTCAAAATGTTGATTTCTACAACATATTCAAGAATTATCGAAATCGGAAGATGAAGGTTCATCGACAAGTTCACCTTTTTTTATTTGTATTGTAACACGATAATGTGTTTTGGAACGAATTTAACAACCCACTTTATATTATCATTTTATGAAATATATCTTAAATTAGTGTGATTAAACTGCACGTATGTATGTATGTGTGTATATATACTCGTACACGAAAGTATTCGAACGTTTACATTTACTGCGTTCAATAACCGATACATATACATTAAAGTAAAATATTTAAAACAATATGGTACATGTAGTAAAGAGAAAATCCCAAGATTATATCAGTAAAATCAGAAAATAAATCAATGAGATATACAATATTTATTTTGGAGATATGGACCAGGGTGGCGCTAGTGAATTAAATGAAATATCGTCTTAGCGCTGTTATAAGCAACAAAAGACAAATCAGTATTATATTTTAACTTCTTATTTTTGAATTAATGATGCTTTTGACAAATATAACAGATTATCTATGCAATATTTTTGTGATTCACCAATGGTACATGTTTGTAAAAAATATATTCTAAATATTGTACATATCATTGAATTATTTTCTAATTTTACTGATGCAACCTCGAGAATTCCTTCTTGTTGTATACATCACTATTATTTTAAATATTTCACTTTAACATTCATATATCATATTTCAGCATATGTAAACGTTCGAATACTTCCATGTGTGAGTGTACATATTTAAATATTCTATCCAAACTTGTATTTTACGATGTGCATTTTCTATTCGTTCCTGTAATTCCACTGCATTATTTATACGTGATGAATAGATTGTGGCTTTTAAGTATCCCCATAGAAAATGTTTATCTTTCAATACTTCAATGTGGAGATACTTACTCGCGCTATCGGATATTCGTAGATACATAAAAATCGATATTTCGACATTTTGTTAATTAAACATTTTTTATTTCTTTCGGTGAGTACTGTAAAGTCTGAAACTTTTGAACTCTCTTTTTTAAAACACACGCGCGCGGGTATATTCTTCAAATTTAACTGTACTTTATTAATGAATGGTAATCCTTTAATATTTAATGAATGGTATGTTTAGTGCTAGTAATCCTTTTGTTCACAAGTCAGTTTGCTAATGCTAGGCGGTACAAAAGTCTTATTATGAGTGTACCCTATTGAGCCAAGAAGTCTAATTACAATAATTATCTACATGCTTAACTACACGATTTATACAGTTTTCCTTCCCACAAGGCAAAGTGGTTAACTACATACCAAGACAAGGAGAACAGAAAAAGTCGTGACTTACTGTAATTCATGAAAAAGAAATAGTCTGTCTTTTTTGTAAATGAAAAGAAATTAAATTCCTGAACAGGCTAAAAATTTGCAGAATGAAATTTGAGAAGAATATATTATATAAAATATTTCATTAAATGTTAATGAAAATATTTAAACTCACAGATTTTCTTGAGAAAGTTGTAAAAAAAATTTATTGTAATTTTAGTCATTGTCATGAAGCTTTATAAAAATTTTAGATCTATTATAGCAACTATATATCCCGATATGTAAAGGTTATTGCCATTACAATTATATGTATATGTTAGAAAAAGACTTAAAAACAAAAATACTAAAATAAATGATATCAACTGTTATATCTTTTTCTTAATTTAAAATCATCCTTATTAAATCCGCAAATGACATAATAAAAAAGATAATCGTTTGATAACCTGATAGTATTATCAAATAAATTGACGATGTCTGACATTTCATTATATTACATCCGTTTTATCCTATGTTGCACTAAATTCACGTTATTTTTTTCTTAAAATTATGATAACAGCGACTATTTGTTTTATTAACCTTTTAGTTCTCTAATCAACAATTGATATAATTCCAATTATTAATATTTTATAAACCAGAAATATAAATTTATTTTCTTGTACTGTAAATAACACGTATAATGAAAAATGACTAAATTAAAACATAAAGCAACGTTTCCTCAAAAATAAAAAATTAGGTCATTTACAGGAGTCAAAACTACATACATTTTTAAGAATTTAATTGTATTTAAAAAAATTTCTGAAGAATATATAATATGAATAAAATTTATTATAGAATATACAATAATATATATTCTTATTTAACATTTGAATTTATTTATTAAATACTTTTACGTACTAAATAAAACTTTGAATAGAATGTTATACTATGACGGAAAATATTATCCTATGTAATTACGACAAAGATCATTAAATAAAATAAAATTTATGAGCATAATTTCTAAATCACATGGTGTTACAGAGGATTAAGGAAAATTAAAAAAAATCCTTATAGCGTACTTCTCGTGCAATTTTATTAACAGATATAAATTTACAACACAGTTATAAAAAACATTGATTGTTAGATCCATAACAAACTCACTGATTGCAATATTGTATTGTAACTACATACATATGTACCAGACAATTCGTAAATTCTTTGTTATTATAAGATAACTGTAACATGACACAAATAAAAGTCACGAAAATCACAAAAGATATAATAACTCTTCTTTGTTACATGTATCCATTGTAGCTACAAGATAAATACAATACGATAACATAAATAAAATTAAAATATAATTAATATAGTCAATTTATATATAATTGTAAATAACACTAGTTAATATTATCACATTATGTTTATATAAACTATTATAGATACTTTCTTTCTTTTTCGCAAACATTTTCCTTTTACGAGATAAGTGTAACAAGTATAAGTATTCTCGTAAAGTCCAGGGCAAAGTGATGACCCAGATGTCGAGTGGCGCCCCCCTTATAATTATCAAACTTCGTCAAAAGTGAAAACGCTTATTCATAACGATAGAACCGAGACAAAATCGAATGAAGAATACTCACACGTGTCATTTCGGCGATCACTTGTCTGTGACCCGAATTAAAAACTTTGTTTGATAACCAACCCATATTTAACCAACTGTAGAAAGACAGCAAAGAATGAGAAGAATTCAACGAATTCCGTTTAAACAGTATCCACACTACATTTCGGTAAATTTAAAAATTTTATATTTTTATACCTCGATGGGAAAAATATCGTGTTCAAGCAACGTCAAGGTATACCATACAAATGATAAATAATGCAATGAAAAAAAAAAGTATTTGATTATTTCTGCTAATTGGACTGTTCATGAAAAATCTTCCTTGCAACGAAGTATCTGTAACATATGCACACAAATATTTTTATATATATATAATATATAATAATATATTATACATATAAATATAATATATTAAATTAATATAATAAATAA